TTGGAGTGTGTTGACGAGGGTTGTGCACCTTATACTCAGAATCACCAAACGGTATTCGCTGAAGGTCATACAGGTATACGCATCAACCTCGGCACACCCCGATGAGGAGGTGGAGGAAATGTATGAGGATATCTCTAGAGCCTTGCAATCCTTCAAAACCCATTATACGGTTTTAATGGGAGACTTCAACGCTAAACTAGGCACAAGAGAGAACGGTGAGCTGAAAGTAGAGAAATTCGGAATAGGGCAACGGAACCCAAGGGGCCAGCAGCTGGCCGACTTCATGGAGTAAGAGGGACTCTTTATAATGAACTCTTTTTTCCAGTAGCGGCCCCACAGGAAGTGGATCTGGTCGAGCCCCGACGGTTGGACAAAAAATGAGATTGACTTAGATATGATGATCAGACGACAACTGTTCAGTGATGTCTCAGTGATCGCGAGGGTGAAAACCGACAGCGATCACCGAATGGTTAGAGGCACACTGAATCCAAACGTTAAGTTGGAGAGGTTACGTTTAATGAAGTCAACGCTTCGTCCCCCTCGCGCTCTAATCCAAAGTACCGAAACCTTTCAGCTCGAGTTACGAAACCGTTTTCAGTGCCTAGAAGATTGCAATGCAGTGGACGATATGAATGACAAGCTCGTGGAATCTGTCCATGCTGTCAGAGCTAAGTTTTGCAAGACCCGCCGCAGAAGAAACAAACACTCTCCGATCACACTCTTAATCTCATGGCTGTTAGACGCGATATGAAGATGCAGTTTTCAGTAGATTTGACAGCATACAGGCAACTGAACAGACAGATCTCCAAATGCATGCGGCGGGACTTACGCAACTTTAGTACCGCTCGTATTGAAGAATCGATCCAGCGGAACCAGGGCTCCAAAGTCTTTGCTAGAGATCTGTCTGCCAGAAAGAGCCAACTATCGAAGCTGTAGACTGAGTGTGGCAGCGTCGTTTCCGGGACACCTGAGATTTTGAGTAAGATTGAGAGGTTCTATGGGCAGCTGTACACATCATCGTTGGAGCCACACGTAAGTGTGAGTAACGATCCAAGAGCGAGTCTTATCCGACACTATTCCGATGATATCCCGTACGTAAATCTGAGCGAGATTAGAATGGCTCTCCAGCACCTTAAAAACGGCAAAGCCCCAGCGCGAGGATGGAATTACAGCGGAGCTTCTGAAAGCGGGTGGAAAACCAGTACTTGAAGTCCTTCAGAAGCTCTTAAATTCCGTCCTCAATAGTGGCATTACACTAGAGGCGTGGAGCAGCAGTGCGGTGGTCTTGTTCTTCAAGAAAGGTGACAACGCTCTCTTGAAGAACTAGAGACTGATATCCCTTCTGAGCCGCGTCTACGTGTTGTTTTCGAGAGTCATTACGAATCGTCCCGCGCGCAGACTTGACGACTTCCAGCCTCCCGAACAAGCCGGTTTCCGAAAAGGCTTTAGCACCATAGACCACATACATACCCTTCGGCAAATTGTGCAGAAGTCCGAGGAGTACAATTTGCCACTATGTCTGGCGTAGATAGACTATGAGAAAGCTTTTGATTCCGTCGAAATATGGGCGGTGCTGCAGTCCCTTCAGCGATGCCATGTTGACTGTCGGTATATCGAAGTGCTGAAGTGCTTGTACAGTAGGGCTACGATAACTATCCGAGTACAGAACCAGAGTACGAAACCTATCCAATTGCAGAGAGGTGTAAGACAGGGTGACGTTATATCCCCGAAACTCTTCACCGCTGCATTGGAAGACGTTTTCAAGCTTCTGGACTCTAAAGGATACGGTATTAATATCAATGGCGAGTACATCACTCACCTTCGATTTGCCAACGATATAGTCCTTATGGCAGAATCGCTGGAGGACCTAAGTACTATGCGCTATGACCTCAATAGTGTTTCCCAACGGACAGTTCTTAAGATAAACATGGACAAAACAAAGATCATGTTTAATGTCCATGTCACACCTATGCCGGTAGTTGTTGGGAGCACTAAGCTCGAAGTTGTTGACGAGTATGTTTACCTGAGACAAATAGTCCGACTAGGTAAGTCCAACTTCGACCAAGAGGTCAATCGGCGGATTCAACTCGGTTGGGCAGCGTTCGGGAAATTACGGCACATCTTCTCGTCAGGTATACCTTAAAATTTTAAAACGAGACTGTACAAGTGCGTGTTGCCAGTGATGACCTATGGAACTGAGACGTGGTCCTTCACTGCTGGCCGTATGAGGAAGCTCAAGGTCGCTCAGCAAGCTATGGAGAGGGCCATGCTCGGAGTTTCTCTGCGTGATAAACTTAGAAATGAGAATATCCGCAGTAGAACCAGAGTGACCGACATAGCCCAACGGATTAGTTAGCTGAAGTGGCAATGGGCCGGCCATATATCTCGAAAAATCGACAACCGATGGGAAAAAAAGGTTCTCGAGTGGCGGCCTCGTACCAGCGGACGAAGTGTAGGGCGTTCCCCCACTAGATGGAGTGACGACCTGGTAAGATATGCAGGAAGTCGATGGATGCAGGTGGCTCAGGACCGTGCTTTGTGGCATTCCTTGGGGGAAGCCTAAGTTCAGCAGTGGACTTGTGAAGGGCTGTAATGATGATGATGATATATCAAACAATAATATATCCAAATATAGAAATAAAACAACGTCTTGTATGGTGTGAAAATTGAGAAGAAGTGTCCTTTATTTTCCCAACGACAGTTTATGTCATAAAATAACAATTGTTTTCTTTTTAAATTCATTCCATTTACAAAAAAATATAGAAAACGAAAAGATAATAAGAAACATTAAAAAGGATACGTTCCGTTTACAAACAAACTGAATTATATTAAGCTCTGGGGGTTATTTTCATGCGATTAGATAGCCAGCGTTAGTGCCCGGTGGACCAGCCGCATCTGCTACACTCTCATAGGATTCGAATTCCGAATTCCTACACGCGCGGAGCCAATTACGGCACTAAAGCTGAGCTTCTTCTCCCCCGTTGCCAGCTTCACAGATATCCTCCTCAGACCGACTGCATTTTATCACCTTCGGAGCTAGGGGAGGTTTGGGCAGAGGAATTTCGTCCCAGGGCTTCTGGGAGAGAGAGAGGGCCTCTTCGGCTCCTGTCTCAGCTGCTATCAGTCTTCGGTACCTCTTCCGTGCTGCCCCACTAAGCTTATAGGGCCTAGCGAACTTTTTCTTTTCCCCTACCTGGTTTGTTTCCGACTGTAGTTCTGCTGCAAACGTACCATCCACTTCTCGGGTCGTCCCAGGTTGAGGCGTAGAGTTGCAAAGTGTTGGTGAGGCTAAAGAGCCTCTTTCAGACCTACAGACAGTTCCATTAAAGGAGAGTTTATTATTCTGTCCAAATGTCGACGTATGTAGGTCTTTTATCTCACTAACAAAGTAGTATGAATCCTTTGTGTGTGCTCTGGTATGTCCTCTCAGTGGTGACAGTATTTTTGACAAGTGTTGAGCCAACTTATATGTTGGTGAATCGATATGGCTCACTATGGGAAGTAGTGGAGCGTTTTGTTTGTGTATTTTCGGTAACCCATACAACCTCGATGGTTTGGCACATGATGGTATTGTCGAATTAACGTCAAGATTTAATTTTTCGAAGTATTTCTTTATTAAATCAGTACTTGTTTTAAGTGTATTAAGTACAGGATCTGTTTTGATCTTTTTGTATGTACTTACGTCCGATAAAAGTTGTTGTATTTTGAAATTATACTCTCACGTGTCCACTATTACCGTAGCATTTCCTTTACACGCGCGGAGAATCGTGAGCTCTGGTCTGTTGCGTAAGTTGTACAACACTTTTACCTCGTCTTTGGGGAGATTTAGTTTCTTCGCTGAACTTCGACGTAACAAGGACGAAATGTCTTGATGTATGGCCTCTAAATCTTTCTTACTGATATTATTTTTAAACAGACAATTCTCAACACTACAGATAATTTCTCCGTACGGGATTCTTTGCGGTGTTCTCTTCGACAATACTTTTATTGTAGGTTCGTCCAGTGTTTGTTTTGACAGATTATAGACCCCGTGACCACGGGTGCTGTAAATTACCCAAAACGTCGGGAATTAAAAAGTTTAATTAAACGCGATAGAATTTGTCAGTGAATATAATCGATGGATAATTTTTTTTTCACCAGCATATGCTAGCCGTGCAGGGCATAATAAAGAAAAGCTACTTATACTAGGTATTATGTGTAACGCAGCGGATAATATTTGATCTTACTTCTTAATAATATCATAAATGTGAAAGTTTATTTGTTTTTTCGCTTTCACGTAAAAACTTTTTATACGTGGTAGAGCCATGCTTTAGCTATATTATTATGGTTGTAGCACGAATGGGTCGGCTCGAACAGGGTAGCTATTATTTATTCCGTGACCGGGGTAGGACCACGCTCTCATAGAATACTGCATTTTGATTCTTAATCGAGGATAGAAATAGATGTCTATGGGTCAAGGCATCCACCTACCATCAGGTGGTCTGTGTGATCGCTTGTCACCCTCATTCTATTAAAAAAAACCCTCTGGCTCCGTGAGTGACTTTGAGCTTATTTAAATGGCCAGTCATTACCCCATATCGTCCCGTAAGTGTTGTAAGTGGCGACAGAGTGAAACGAAATAGCATATGGGCGGCAGCATCTTCCTGATAACTACTAAGTAATAAAAAACTGTGTTTGCGAACCAGCCTACCAAGCGGGCAACTATGGCAAATATCCCCCCTATGAAATGTGAAGAGCCAAGTAGAGAGGTCTATGTAATGATACAAAAACAAAAACAAATGGCCGAATCGACTGTGATGAAACTTTACGAACAGATAGAAAGTAATGCCAGGAGGGATCCAGACTATATTGGGAAAACTTGGAGAGTTTTATTTGCTAAAACGATTTTTTTTTAATAAAAGGTCTTTGATTATTTCACATCTAAATAATGCCACATTAATAGGTCCTATCGAGGCGAAGCCGAGTCGGGTCACTAGTTTAAAATATTTTATTGTTTTCAGGCGACAACGGAGTCACAGAGGAATATACCAAGGCTTACCGGCAATCCCTGGAAGATCCAGAAGGATTCTGGGCAGAAGTTGGACATGAATTACATTGGACAAAACCGTGGGATCGTGTGCTGGATGACACTAATCGGCCTTTTACCAAATGGTAAGTTACTCTTCATTAGTGAAGACGTACTTGTGTATCATCTCAAGAGTTGTTCCACCTAAAATATCAAAGCCGGTATAAAAGACTAGTCCCTAGGGTGCATTATAGCTGGTACTAAATGGTTAATATAGAAAGTGGATCGCTTAATGTATGAAATTATATAAAATTTTATAAAAATTACATTATGTGTACGAAATGTAGACTTGTGGTTTCTATACATTTCAATCAATGTCGTATTGAAATGAGACGATATTAAAAAAAAAACTTAAATTATAATTATTACAGAAATAAAACAAAGTTCATCGATTTTGTAAAAAAAAACTGTGTATACGAAGGTTTTGTAATTATCTTACATTAGTACTGGCAGGACGTCCCAAAAGAAAACTCCGTCCATAATTTCTTTTATATTTCTTTTTTATAGAATAAGAGTTGCAAAGGAGCACACAGTCCACCTGATGGTAAATGAATGCTGTAGCCAGTAAACATCTACATTTATACTTAATTAAGATACAAAATGGAGATGCGTTGTCATCCCTGAACACCGAGATGGAATGCCTTGTCTCCAGTAAAACTGATCTCTGGTTCTCTACACTAACCATACGAAACACAGCAGCATTAAGCTGCTATTTTACTCTGGTTTCTGTGAGAGCGTGGGCCTACCGACTGGTCTGATCCACATTTGTGCTACAACCATAATTTAGCTGCAGCGTGGCTCTACCTCGTAGGTAAATAAAAAACATTCTTAAAATTCAGTATCAGTTCTTCTCGACCTCTTCAGTTTTAATACGTTCATATTATAGTTTTATACGTAGTAGTATTTTTAGTATGTACTATTATTATATACTAAGTTATTTACTTTATTTTTTGCAAAATTTGCATGCCTCATAACGCAAAGCGTTTGTTTTGGGTAAATTGATAATACGTTAAAGTAAAAATAACGACTCTTTACTTTGATGCTCGCGTATCACACATATATCAATAACTGTTATCTCTATATACAAAAATCAATTACTGTCCGTTAGTCTCGCTAAAATGCGAAACTGACTCGACCGATTCTGATGAAACTTTTTGTCTGCGTTTAAGTGGATTCCTGGATGGTTTAGATTCACAATTGGACCCGGTAGGTGTAGCTGTTGTCGAGATTCAGAAATCACTCGTTCGAAGCCGGGGCGGATCGCTAGTCTATGAAATTATTCATTAATACCTCATCATAATCAATATATTCAAATCCTTTCGCAAATCCACTGCTGTTACATTTAGGTAGTGTTTTACTCTTAACACGTCCAGGTCGAGCAATTTTGTGTTCTTAAAATGACTCTATCATAACCATATTGCACTTACACGATAATATGAGTAGCAGTATATCAAGTAAATACTCTAGTTAACCTATTTTATATATATATATATATATATATATATATATATATATATAATGTATTGCAGAATAAAGACATATTCTTGTCTTTATTTTTCTCCAAAGTCTCTGTCCTATATGAAAGTAGCATACGCTTAAAGGTATCGACAGATTATGGCGGAACGCTTACACATTATAATCTTGCAGAGTGTGGGGGTAATTATATTAAAGTCAACTACATACATTGGAAAACCTCTACTTATTCAATGCTAAATAAGAGGCGGAACAAGCACAGGAGACAGCTCAGATGCACACGCCTTTAGAACTATAGTTGGTATACCATCTGGTCCACTAGCTCTGTTTACGTCTAGTCTCTGCAAGGGTTTAAGAACCTTCTTGTTGGTGATGCGGATCTCCGACTTAGAGGTACTGCTGTGAGGTAGTTGAGATAGAACTTTGTTGCTACTGACACTGTCCAGATATGAATTACAGACAAAAAAAGAAGTGAACAAGTCCGTTTTCTCTTTAGCCGTATGCGCTAGTATGCCATCAGTTTTGACCAGCGGAGGCAGTGTAGACATTTTGTCTCGACCGCTTTGGCAAGAGACCAAAAAGCCGCCCCTTCTGCCGGATAGTCGAACAGACAGTTTAACACAGTAAAAACTGGTTTCCCGTTTTTTTTTTGAGAACTTGGCGATCTGGTTGGAAGCGCTCTTCTTGGAGCTAATATCCAGTGCTTTACGGTCTTGAGCTCCAAACCAAAGATTCGTCTCAAGGATAGATATGCCAAATATTTGAGATTTTCAGTTTTGGCGCATTTGGATTTAACGTATTTAATTCGTGATAGAGAAACTCGCCGATTGTCCAGGGTTCAGTGAACGTAGAGGTTCAGTACCGCACTCGGGAATACACTTGTAGTCACTTTCACGATCTACAATAGTGTTTATTTTTAAAGAACAACACGGGTTGCTTTTTTTTAAATTATGTTTGTATGTATGTTATGATTATTTAATATGATTTAAGTTAATTTACTACTTAAGAATATTACATAGTAAAGACACAAGAAAAAGAAATTTGTAATTCAAATGTTGTTAGACAAATCACATTGTTTACGCGATCTAAATATTTTTAATTATTTATTAGTTTCATTATATTGTGGTGGCTTTGAATAATAGTTAATTATAATTTAAAATTTAAAATTTTGTACAGCCGACTTCAGTATAAGTTATTAAGAATAACTCAAAAACTATTGGTCTGACCTTGATCAAATTCATATGATCAAGATGATATGGGACCACAAGAGAAGTATCAGCTTTCAAATAAAAAAAGAATCATCGAAATCGGTTCACCCAGTAAAAAGTTATGAGGTAACATACATAAAAAAAACATACAGTCGAATTGAGTACCGGCTCCTTATTTGGAAGTCGGCAGAAAATGTAGCGTTTTCTCGCAGTTTCGCTCGCATGGTAGGTAGATATTTAAACTATGTGGTAGAGTCACGCTACATCTATGGCTGTAGCAAAAATAGATCAGTTCGACTACGGAAAAACCAAGCTCGCACAGAATACCAGAGAAAAATAGCAGCTTAATGCTGCTGCGTTTGTTATGGTGAGTGTGGCCTTCCATTTTAGTTCTTAGTGGTGATAATCTTCAGTGGTAATACATGTGCGTTTTGCGTCTTAATCGAGGATAGATGAAGATGTCTATGAACCAAGACCACTTAACATCAGATGGAATATGAGAAATGAGAGTGAGGCAATAGAGAGTGCACTTGTGTTTGCGCATACACTCGGGCACTATAATCCTGTACTGCGCCGATGGCTAGTCTCCGTTGAGGCTGGCCGCCATGACCGAAATACGGTCTGGAGGATATTATAATGTAGTAACTGCTAATTAAATTGAGTAATATTATTGATAGTAGAAAGGTCCCTAAATTCAATTCGAACTTTCTTAAATGCTTTTCCTTAATAACGAAGGGGGTTATCATCTAATGGTAAGTACTACTACCACCCTTGAACAACTGCATCAAGGGGATTTGCAGATGCAAATGATTTTCAAAAACAATAGGCTCTATTCTTGAAGGTCCCTAAGTCGTATCAGTCCGGAAGAAACGCTGGTGGAAGTTGATTCCACAAGGAAGTTGTGCAATGAACAAAACTTCAAGAAAAGAGCTTACACCTTTCTAAAAGGCCGGCAACGCATCTGCAATTCCCCTGGTGTTGAGGTGGTTCATGTGTGGTGGTAGTCACTTACCATCAGGTGAGCCGCATGCTCGTTTGCCCCCACTTATATAAAAAAAAAAACTTTGAATAAATCCAGTTAATAATCCAGATGGTATGGATAGTATCACGAGTTTTATCGTGATGTGCTGTGGTAAAATTTAGCGGATGGAATTAGTCCGAACATTTCCTCTTCTCCCTCCTCTGGTAGATGGATTAGCCAATTCGTGATAGAATACTCGTCGAATTTTTATTCCCCACACGTGTATAGGAAGAGCTCGATGTGGGTTATTTTCGTAAATTATTTAGAAAATTCTAACATCCAGGTGGTCTGATCAGTTCTAATCATAAAAAACTAAAAAATTGTTTTTCCTAAAAAGGTGGGTGGGTGGCGAGATGTCGGTGTGCTACAACGCAGTGGACCGCCACGTGGCTGCTGGCCGCGGTGAACAAGTGGCACTCGTCCATGATTCCCCTATGACTGACACCGTGCGCCGGATCACCTATACCGAGCTTCAGAACCAGGTGAGTTTCTTATCTTTTTTTTAAAGAAGTGGCATATGAGTATGTGGAACCTGATGGGAGTAACTATGGCTATTGAATTGCAGGTGCGTTGCCGGTCTTTTAAAAAGGAGTAGGATGTAGGAAAGTTGTTTCGAATATCGTATCGTTCCAGAAAAAAAATTGTTGATAGTTAATTAATTCCACAAAGTATTGGTGCGAGGAAAACTCTTCTAAGAAAATTGTAACAGTGGTGTGGTTGGTACAGGGCATTTTTCGCGAAGTGCGATGAAACTTTGTCTGAATCAATTCAATTCAAGCAATTCTTAAAATCACTTCTCGTGACGTGAATTCGATAAAAAAAACATGGGTGAGTGTCGTGGAACACTCGGTTGGAACGTTAACTTCCCTTTGCATACTACAATTATTATTGATACACGTATTATATTATTAATTAACAAACACAAATAAATTAATTACTAGTGTCTATTAAAATGAAGAGTCATTTAAAATAAAATAATATCTCTTTCATGGCAAGATAAGAAAAAGTTCGAGGGAGATGGATATTATTCCATGTCGCTTCTTTATAGCCGCCAAGGTCGTCCACACTACGTCAGAAGGGGTCGTGACGGGAAAATCTTTCATCATTATTTCTCGCCTAGCCCCCATCCGCCAAATTCGTACTGTCCGATAAGGAACTTCGTTCCAAAAATGCAAAGAGCTGTTCCATCTTTTCGAAATGCCAGTAAATTGAGGCGAAAGAACACGCCCGTCGACGATTCCATTCGGTTCAGAGATGAGAACAATATTATATGTATATGAGTCCGAACTTGCAAAGTTGCAAACGTAGGTATATGACATAAATTAACTGATTCATAGAAGTTGATTGCAGATGCCCACGGACTGCTGGTGTCACTTACCATCGAATAGAATAGAATAGAATAGAATATTTTTTATTCAATATACATTACATGTGTAATTCTTATTGAAAGTCATTTTTTACTTTACCACTGGTTCGAAAAAACCCTCTGTCCTGGGAAGAACCAGCAAGAAACCCAGCGGGACTTTTTTTTTAAATAAATTTTACAATATAAATGATTACGAACTATTTACAAAATTTATTTTAGAAACTGCTTGGAAGCGATCACCTCATTCCCAGGGGTTATTATCAACCATGTATTCATTTATACTATAATAACCCTTTTTATACAGTTTCAGCTTAATAAAACATTTAAACTTGGTAATAGAGAGAACCTGTACACTTTCCGGGACCCTGTTGTAATAGCGTATACATTGCCCCAAGAATGAATTACTGACTCTGTGGAGTCGAGAAACTGGTATCACTAGCTTGTGTTTGTTCCTAGTGTTTACAGAATGTATATCACTTCTTTTACTAAAACTATCTTTGCTTTTGTGAACATACATTAAATTTTCGTAAATATACTGAGAGGCCAAAGTTAATATATTAATTTCTTTAAATTTATAGTAGACGATACTCAATTCGACTGTATGTTTTTTTTTTATGTGTTAGCTCAAAACTTTTTTCTGTGTGAACCGATTTCGATGATTCTTTTTTTATTTAAAAGCCAGTACTTCACATGTGGTGCCGTATGAATTTGAATAAGGCCAGACCAATAGTTTTTGGGTTATTCTTAATAGCTTATATTGAAGTCTGCTGAACAAAATTTTTAATTTTTAATTATTAGTTACAACTATTTAGACGAAGTGAGAGTAAACTGTAAAGGTAAAAATAACTGGTGCTAAGACTTAACGTATGGAAGTATTAAAATTCCGACTACAGACTTTTATTAATATATAAATTATTTCATTCTTTTTAATTCTTCGAATTTTTATCATTTATTTTTTGAAGGTGTCCCGCCTGGCCGGTAAGCTGATGGACCTTGGGGTCAGTAGGGGTTGCCGCGTGCTCATCTATATGCCACTCATACCAGAGGCTATTGTCGCCATGCTCGCGACCAACAGGATCGGAGCTATTCACTCAGTTGTTTTCGGAGGTAAGAGAATCAGGATTAGGGACTATCAGAAGTGGTAACAATTTACTCTCACACAAAACATATGTTTATGTGTGTACTTCTTTTTGTCTTTTCAAAACCTTTATTTGTAACCCCCGGCGGAAACAGATAGATTTTACGCTGGTATTCTGTGAGAGCATGGTCCTACCCAAGTCGAGCGGACCCATTCGTACCACCAACCAGTGAGTGACGAATTACCAACGAGTGACCAATGGTCAATAAAAAAGAAAGAAATATATATTTCTTTATATACAAATATTGTATTTATCATTCTTGTAATAAATTACCTGTACGTAATATCTCGTAGGTTTTGCAGCGAGGGAACTAAGAACCCGTATCGAACATGCACAGCCAACGGTAATCATTGCAGCAAGTTGCGGCGTGGAGCCTAATAAAATTGTAAGGTGAGTCACTTCCTCGTTTCTAAGTTTCCTTTTTAAGTTTTTGGCTACTAAAATGTGCAAAATGGTGAAGAAGTCTGCCAGAGATAATATCGAATTCTGACTATTGGGGATTGACCGGTAAGGACTTAATGCTCGCTAAAGAATCTTATTGTATATGCATGTACCCTTTCTTTTCTTTTAACAAACTTTTCTGGATAAAGGTTTTTCATTAATGCGCAAATTTAAACCAAAATATTATTATATAAGTAATAGCATAAGTTAAAAGAGCAATATTAAATAAAACAAAGTAAGTAATATATAAAATTATTATAATTATAACTTTCAACAAAAAGTAAAAACCGACTTGAAATTGCTGAAAAAGAAGTTATTCATTTGCTACCCTTAGGGATGAAATTTTTTCTCCAAATTTATATGAGACCACCCTTGTAGAATAACCTAACCTATTTAATAAAAAAAATCATCAAAATTGGTCCACAATCTGCAAAGATATCGCTTAACATACATACAAAAAAACTCCTCCTTTTTGAAGTCGGTTAAAAATAAATTACTCTTTGAAAAATAATTATTTTTTTCTTTTTATAGAATAAGGGTGACAAACGAACGCACAGTCCACCTGATGGTAAGTAGACGCTGTGGCCCATATACATCTACATCTATCTTCAATTAAGGATCACAATACAGATGCGTTATCACCCTGAGGACTAAGATGTAAGGAATGCCTCGTTTCCTTAGAACCGAGACCTTTTACACTGGAAACGAGACAAAAGAAAAATTATTCATTTATTTTAAATCAAATGCGTAAGAAAATCCTCTACATTATCATTCTGTGGGTGTCGTAAGAAACAATAGAAGGAAACTGAAACATGAAATGGGAAGTAACTCGCCCACCAAGCGTCGCAACTATGACAATCATCTACCCTATTAGGCAATCTGTGGGGAAGGCTTATGTTTAGTAGTGGACTTCTGACAAGTTCTAATGAATGAATGAATGAAAAACTTCAAATACAACATCAATATAACATCAAATATATATTTGAGATTAAACTCGTAAAATTTTAACTTATAAAGTAATTTGTGATCTAACCACTTAAATGCTTTTAATAAATCAAAGCATTCGCTTATCGCATTCTTCGCCTTCCCATAAACTATAAATACATTATAAGCATTAACACACTTCTGCAATAGTTAACAGTTATAATAATTATTTAATAAAACCAAACTGATTACCATGAAGTAAGTTACTAAACACAGTTTAGATAAAAATACCTCTAAAGTTACGGAAGTGTTTAGTTATTAATTTTATTATTTTATCTTTAGTTATCTATTAGTTAAGTAAACCAAAGAATGAATTTGTTTTTGATCAACATGTCTGAACTTTAACTTTGTTATATCTAAAAGCTTTTAAAAAATTTACTACGCAAACATCCGCGCTATAAAATAAAATAATGTTTCTTACCTAGTATGAAGAGCACCTCCCGCCCGCTCACCGCTCACTTAACGGTCAGCCACCGTAGAGTCTACATCACTTGAGGATGCCTTGTGTAGAGACGAAACACGTGTCATATTGTCATCATTGGTGTGTCTTGCCTAGTGTAGTGGTGTTGGGAGTAGCGGTGCTGGGATTAGTGGTGACGGGGATAGTGCACGCAATTGAGGGAGGGCGGGAGGTGCTCGTCATACTAGGTAAGACAGATTATTTTATTTTATAGCGTGGATGTTTGCGAAGTAAATTTTTTAAAAGCTTTTATATAATGGATTTCCGCAAAGTAACGCCTGATTCTATTAATTTGTTATATCTTTTTTTTCTAATTCGAAATAAGAATTAGAAGTAGCTAAAAGTAGGTTTTGATGATTATATTGACAAGAAATATCTTGCACTCGTGGGCTATTTTATTTATGATTCGTTGGATGGTCTGTTTGAAAAAAAATACTGAAAATTTCTCAGTATCCTTTTCTTTTAGTCTTAGATTCCAACCATAACACCACCTGCCGTATTTCTTTCTTATTATAAAAAAGTGGTCCTGAAAATATTTGTGTGCCTTGTGGTAACATGTCTCTTAGGGTCTAGCTTTAGGATTTCATGTTAAATCTTAGATAAATCCTGTATGAATTAAGCATTATCTATTGACTTCATCTTGAACAGGTACAAAGATATCCTGGATGAAGCGCTGTGCCAAAGTTCACAGCAACCGCGCTGCTGCATAATATACCAGAGGCGACGCGTGCTAGAATGTCAGATGGAGAAGGGCCGCGATATATGCTGGGAAGAGGCGCTCGAAGCAGAACCAGTATCTTGTGTGTCGGTGGAAGCCAACGAGCCACTTTACATTCTTTATACATCAGGTAATTTTTCTTTATTCTTAATATAAATTTATTTAACAAAATCCAGGTCTGACAATGTTCAGAATTTGTTGCTGTAATCTTAATTATAATCGAGATCTAAAATCAAAATTGCTCTGGTGGACATAAACATCATCACTATTTCCATTTTAAAAAAACGTTGCGTGATCCCTGTTCAGATCCCAAAAAATAGCCTCCAGGAGATAGGGTTCATGAAATGAAATTCAGCTATGAATTAGCAGTAGGAGTCAAAAAGCATCGTATATTATGTAAAGAAGCCTTATGTACTATTTGAACCAAATCTTTACATCGCGATATAAATAACACAAGCTTTGGACAAAACGACATCTAGTAAAATAAAAATAAACTAAATATTGTATACAAAGTAACTGACACATTTCATACACCAGGAATTTCTGCTGTAGACATTTTACATACATACATAGTGAAGTTGTTATAACTATATATTAATTAATTGTATTAATTATAATTTATATCTCTCCTGCACCGTTTTTTAAACATATATTATATATTTTTCTTTGTAACGCATAACCAAATTGTTACTTTAATTATATTTTTCTTGTTTCATTAATCGCTATCACGCGAGATAACTTCGTTTAGCGACCACCACAATTCTACCGCCACTATTTGGTGGTAGAATTAGCTTAGTTGCTAAACGAAGTTATTATACGACATTGCTGGTCGTATGAGGAAGTTTAAGGTCGCTCACACTAGGAACGACACACCACTCTACGCGGAGTCTGGCCGCTAAGTCTGTCAGCCACTTAGCGGCCAGCCTCCGCAGAGTCTACTTCTCCTGAGGATGCCTCGTGTAGAGACGAAACAAGATTCGTGTTATCGAGAGTGGTGTGTCGTTCCTAGTGTGGTGGTGCTGGGGGTGGCGGTGCTGGGATTTGTGGTGACAGGGGTAGTGCACGCAATTGAGGAAGGGTGGGAGGTACTATTTAAACTGGGCAGGACACATAATATAGCGATAACAACTTCCGAAGATATTCCGGACGTCTTGAAATTAGCGGTATCTGCCAAATGACAGTATGTGTACATACATCAGTGGAATTCTCCGAGAATTCAGTGGAATTCTCCAGAAAAGGAAATCTATCAACTCGTATCAAAAAATATCAACGGGTTCCTAACTTTCATTAATGGTTTAAGGTACAACTGATGACCCGAAAGGCATCCAGCGTCCATGCGGTCATGCAGCTACTCTATGCTGGACCATGCATGCGGTATATGGTCTGCGCAAAGGCGTTTGGTGGTCTGCGTCAGACCTAGGATGGGTCGTGGGTCACTCTTATATCTGCTATGGTCCTCTGCTTGCCGGATTAACATCCGTTCTATATGAAGGGAAGCCGGATAGGACGCCTGATCCTGGACAATACTTTAGGTGAGTTGATGATAGTGATTTTTCTATCTTGTAATCTTTTATTATTGTCATTGCTCATGGGGGGTAGCATAGCCCTCTCCATAGCTCAGCGAGCTATGGAGAGGGCTATGCTCGGAGTTTCCCTGCGTGATAAACTCAGAAATGAGGATATCCGCAGTAGAACTAGAGTGACCGACATAGCCCAACGGATTAGTAAGCTGAAGTGGCAATGGGCCGGCCATATAGCTCGAAGAACCGACAACCGATGGGGAAGAAAGGTTCTCGAGTGGCAGCCTCGTACCGGCAGGCGAAGTGTAGGGCGTCCCCCCACTAGATGGAGTGACGACCTGGTAAGATATGCAGGAAGTCGATGGATACAGGTGGCTCAGGACCGTGCTTTGTGGCATTCTTTGGGGGAGGCCTATGCTCAGCAGTGGACTTGTGAAGGGCTGTAATGATGATGATGAATGATGAATCTTTTAGTCTCAGGATAACATCAACTTAAAATAATTGACCTCAGAGTAGTTATCGAGCCATTTTATTTAAACAAGTGTATAGAAAATTTCAAAATTTAGAATTTACTTCTGGTTTTTATGCAGTATAAATAAAATCCATATCAGAGGGTAAGCTTAAAAACAGTCTCAGATACAAAAGAGAAAAAAAAAACAATTTAAAATCCGGTATTTCTCAACATCATCATTACAGTCCTTAACAAGACCCCAGCTGAACATAAGCCTTCAAGAAAGGAACAAAACTTGGACCAGAGCTATCTGCATCTATCGGGTTCTCGCATAATTCACCAGTTCATCACTCCATCTAGTACAGGGCCGTTCTACGCTTTGCTTACTATTAAAAGGCAGCAATTCGAAAATCTTTGTCCCTATCGATTGTCGCCATTTGTTATTGAGCTATGAAACTGGCCCTTTGCCACCATTGTGCTATTAATGACATATGGATCTAAGAAGTGGTACTTCATACTTCATACGTTGGCAATTCATAACAAAATTTGTATCACAGCTGTGAATCGTACGGGCGCCGCCGTCTCGGCGGGTAGCTGGCACAGTAAATATGCCATGCAGTTGTATTTGAATTTACGAAAGTTACTCTTTTTACTCAAATACGAAATAAAGTAACATACTAAAATAATGACAGCGTTTATTTTAGTTCCATGTCCCATTAAACATGATCAGTGTTGGATTGTCGAAACAACTTTAGCGGTTTAAAAAAAAACAAAGAACTAGTCTTCTCGCACGCTTGCAGTCGACTAAAGAAGCTACAGCGAATTGACCGTTACTTAGTGCGCAATGTGTACATACATATTTTGTTGGGTGTCGACTTATGGTATTTTTCATAATGAAGATGTTCATGAAAAAAAATGTCGTTTTTAATTTCGCAACAGTTGTCAAGCAACTAAACGGCAGTTCCATTGTTAGTCAATCAGTTTTGAACCTATCGTGGAGAATTTAATTTCACTGTTGGATAATTGGTTAAAAGTAGGAAACTTTAAGTTGTTTTTGCGTGTTCTAATGAAGTCAACGCTCCGTCCTCTTGTGTTGTCGAAAATTCCCGAAACCTTTCAGCTCTAGTTACAAAACCGTTTTAAGTGCCTAGAAGACTGCAATTCAGTGGACCATATGAATGACAAGCTCGTGGAAACTGTCCATGCGGTCGGAGCTAAGTTTTGCACGACTTGCCGCAGAAGAATACAAAATCTCTCCAATCACATTCTTAATATCATGGCTGTTAGACGAGAAATGAAGCCGTAGTCTTCAACAGATTTGATAGCATACAGGCGGTTGAACAGACAGATCTCCAAATGCATGCGGCGAGACTTACGAATTTTTAATACAGCTCATATTGAAAAAGCGATCAAGCGAAACCATGAGTCCAAAGTCTTTTCCAGAGATCTGTCTGCCAGAAAGAGCCAACCGTCGTAGCTGAAGACCGTAAGTGGCAGCATAATTTCCGGGACACCCGAGATTTTGAGTGAGATTGAGAGGTTCTATGGGCAGCTGTACACATCATCGTTGGAGCCACACGCAGGTGTGAATAACGATCCATGAGCAAGTCTTATCTGACACTATTCCGATGATATTCTGGACGTCAGTCTGTGAGAGATTAGAATGGCTCTCCAGCACTTTAAAAACGGCAAGTCCCCAGGCGAGGATGGAATTACAGCGGAGCTTCTGAAAGCGGGTGAGAAACCGGTACTTAAAGTCCTTCAGAAGCTCTTTAATTCCGTCCTCCATAGTGGCACTACACCGGAGGCGTAGATCAGCAGTGCGGTGGTCTTGTTCTTCAAGAAAGGTGACAACGCTTTCTTGAAGAACTACACACCGATTTCTCTTCTGAGCCGCGTCTACGTGCTGTATTTGAGAGTCACTACGAATCATCTCCCACGCAGACTCGACGACTTCCAGCCTCCCGAACAAGCCGGTTTTCGAAAAGACTTTATCACCATAGACCAAAACAAATACCCTTCGGCAAATTGTACAGAAAACCGAAGAGTGCAATTTGCCACTACGTCTTGCGTATGTGGACTATATAACTATCCAAGTACAAAACCAGAGTACGAAACCTACCTGTAAACCTTCACTGCTGGCCTTATGAGGAAGCTCAAGGTCGTTCAGCAAGCTATGTAGAGGGGTAGCCCTCTCCATAGCTCGCTCGGGGTTTCCCTGCGTGATGAACTTAGAAATGAGGATATTCGCAGAAGAACCAGAGTGACCGACACAGCCAAACGGATTAGTAAGCCGAATTGGCAATAGGCCGGCCATATAGCTCGAAGAACCGACAACCGATGGGGAAAATAGGTTCTCGAGTGGCAGCCCCGTACCGGTAGGTGAAGTGTAGGGCGACCCCCACTAGATGGAGTAACGACCTGGTAAAATATACAGGATGTCGATGGATGCAGGTGACTCAGGACCGTGCTTTGTGGCATTCCTTGGGAGAAGCCGATGTTCAGCAGTAGACTTGTGAAGGGTTGTAATGATGATGATGATGATGAGGAGGACATTCATCAGTTTTATTTACCGTGGAGAAAATCAAAGTCAAAGTAGACGCTTTATTGTTAGTGACGCCTTATATCAATTTAATTTCTTCCAGAATTATAGAACAACATCGAGTCAATGCCCTGTTTACTATACCCACGGCATTCAGAGTGCTGAAACGTATTGACCCCAATGCGAAGCACGCGCGCCGCTACTGTTGCAAGTCGCTGCGAACTGTATTCATAGCTGGCGAGCATTGTGACCAGGATACTCGGGTGAGTTCTGTTTTCAATAAGGATTCTGAAATAAGGTGGAAACGAACCAATAGCACTATAAACAAGATGTAAAATTAAAAAATTTGGACAACCGACTTCAATATAAATAAAATCAGAACATCATGAATATAATCGAAGTCAATTAAATACGCATTATTAAGATAGCTCAAAAACTACGGATTAGATCGTGATTAAATTTATATGGGACCACATGAGAAGCACCAGCTTTCAAGTAAAAAAAAAGAATCATCGAAACCGATCAAGAGAAATCGGTTCACCTAGGAAAAAGTTTTGAGGTAACACATAAAAATACAGTTGAAATGAAAACCTCCTTTTTTATAGGATAAGGGTGACAAACGAGCACACAGTCCACCTGACCGTAAGTGGTTGCTGTGGCCCATAGACATCTACATCTATCTTCGATTACAAATCAAAATGCAGATGTGTTGTCACCCGTGAAGTCTAAGATGGAATGCCTTATTTCCAGTAAATAGGATCTTCAGTTCTATACACTAACCATACGAAACACAGCAGCGTTAAGCTGCTATTTTACGCTGGTATTCTGTAAGAGCGTGGTCCTTCCACGTCTGTAAGTCGTGGTCGAGCAGACCCATTCGTGCTACAACTATACTACTAATATAACTGCAGCATGGCTCTACCATGTAAAACCTTTTAAAAGTGAAACGTCTTTAGTATCGTCGTGATTTGAAACGCGTTAAAACGAAAAAGCGACACTAATAGAGACAAATATACGTCTATATGATTTAGCCTGCGAGAGAATGAGATAGAATCTATACTAATATAATAAAGCGGAAGAGGTTTGTTTGGCTAATATCTGGAACTACCAGTCCGATTTGATAAATATTTTTTTTGTATGATAGGCTTCATGAGGAATAGTATAGACTATATAGCATTAGGCTACACCTCTCAGCTAGCCTTAAATACATACTGAATTTTGTTAAGTAAGTAGGAAGAAAAAACGGTCAAGAACTGCTTTATCCGCGTGCGCTGGCGTAATAGTTAGTGATACGTAAATACAATGTTCTACAAAAATATAAAATAAAATCTAAAAATGGATAACATAGGCCTATATTTTATACATAAGTCACAATAAGGTATTTAGTGACAAAAAAAATTTAAAATTAAAAAGTGATTTATGAGCGTTATTATTAGGCATGGCATATTAATCCTTACAAACGAAAGTCATCATCACGACAATTTTATGAGGACACACATAGTTGAATTTCACATACTTGAAGGGACAATGAAAAATTAAAATAATTCAACAATCAGATCGTTGCGCGAACGATACCCGATACGAACCGAGAGAAAGTGATCGCGAAAGTTATATACGCGGGTGATACCGCGAGGAACAGTTAGTTCAGTATAAAGTGTTTCCTATTATCTTAGTCTTCTCTATGTACGGTGCTTTATAAATGGTTACTACAACTTTTAACTGTTAAAATAAAAAAAAAAGTCTCGCAGAATACCAGCGTAAAATAGCTGCTTAACACTGCTGTGTTTCGTATGGTGAGTGTAGAGAATCGGAAACCGTTTTTACTGGAAAAGAGGCATTCCATCTTAGTCCTCATGGGTGACAAGGCATCTACATTTTGATTCTTTATTGAGGATATGTGTAAATGTCTATGGGTCACAGCAACCACTTACCATCAGGACTGTGTGCTCGTTTGTCACCCTATCCTATAAAAAAAGATATTAAAAAATTATAATATAATACAGTATAAACTTTTTCCTATTACGTATCTCGGCTGCCTTTGTGTGCGGTACTTTAAAGATGGTTAATATAACTTTTAACTGTTAAAATAAAAATAAAAAAATAAAAGCCACAAATTTATCAAATAAATAAAATTACTTATAATGAAAAAAATTATCACATATAATTAAATAAATCATTTGATGTAAAATATTTTTGTTTTATATTTCATTTCAAGGTTTCACATTTACCGCGTGTGAATTTCACACATCCTTTTTTTGAGGTCGTTTGAAAAAACCGGTCAAGTTCGAGCCGAGTCTTCTATCATTATCTCATCATATATGATTCTCTCGTGTACAGTAATCTATGCTCTCATGCTTGCAATTTGCCTGTCTTTTTCTAACGAATATTTGAGATTTCTATAAAATTTTCTTTTCTTTTTCGGTCTGATATTCGGTCGGTCGGTCTTCTTCCACACTCTAAAAGCTTAGAGTTTTTTCATTAAAACGGTTTTCTTTCTTTTTTTATTTTAAGTTCTTAACATAATATTTATTTAAGTACTGACCAATTCGTTATATTTTTTTTTATTCAGGACAACAAACATTTACATAAAAATGCTTAAACCAAATAAAAGTATATAAATAATATTAGTCATTATGTAACCAGCACCGTTATCCACAAAGTAATATTAAATTGGTAACAATACCTAAATAATAAATGCACAGTAAACAGTGTTTAATTGAAAAAGAGAAAACAAATAAAGTTCATAATACTCAGCAACATAAAAATCTAAATGAACCAAAAGGAAAAAAAATTGCTAACTTGTGAAATATTTTAAGATACTATTGAATGTCTAACAACCTTCTTAGAACGTTCTTACGAAATTGTAATTGTGATAATAAAGTGAATAGGTCAATATTTGAAAAATACTTGTTATATACTTTTATACAATAATATATTATATAGTTTTTTTTATAATATGTTTAAATGGGGCGCGTTCACCTGCATCCGTTTTGCATAATTTAGGCGCAAACAATTTATTTATTTATTTATTTATAAAGGTCACCGACAGATGATACACAAGTACTAAAAACAAGATCCAAGCATTAAGAAAAACATGCAATGTGCTCACCCAGTTATAGGCAACCACAGCTTACACAGAGTAATGTTGCGAAAAGTTAATTATCATAAAATTTAATATTACAGTAGCAAAATTGCGTATGTATGATAAATTAAAAAGGGTTTAATTTATATGTGTACACATCCCTAATGCGTTGAGAACGACTAGGGACACGGATATATATTTTGTTAAATAATTCGTTTATTAAGGCGTACCTATATATTGAAATATTTTAAGCATTGGCGCATTATTCGGTAGACGGTCTTAATTTAAATTTCTTATTATGCTTATGTTTGTGAATGTGATTGCTTTGCTTGTTATTTTAAATCCTTACTAAAGTTATATTGTAAATGTGGGAGTGTATTTATACGTTCTTACCTTCTTACGGCTAAGTCTCTGAATAGATCTAGGTGACCTTTAGCACAGCTTCTTGAAATAGACATAGACCTTTATTACCGTTTACATTTTTATTTGTAACTGGCTGTACCCCACGACTTCGTTCGCGTGAATTTATTACAATTGGATTTCATGGTATTTAATTTGTTTTGCGCCGTACTCTTATAATTTTTCTAAAATGGAAGTAGTCTAAGTTACTCCTTAGAACATCAGCTATCTGCCAGTGAAAGTCCCGTCAAAATCAGCCAGCCATTAATTTGTTTATTATATTATATTTCAAAAAAAGAATTAGGATTCTGAGCAATATAATTAAAACCCGAAATTACACGTGGGCGAAGTCGCGGAGAACAGCTATCTGAGCATATGATACGACCGCACTGGACCAATAATAAAAATCAGTCCAAATAAATCGTAGGTATATTTTGTAATATTACAATCAGCTATCTAAAATCGTAATTTTTATCTTTATGAATAAATGCTTTGTTGACCTTGTTAATTTGAGGTTTTTCTTAAATACTTGGTCGGTGGTTATTAAGGCCTACTAAATTTCACTATAGGCCGTATTATACTCCTTTTTTTATTTAGTTTTTTTTTTGTTTCATTATGAATTTCATATCACTTTTACAATGTTATAAATGCAAACAAATCGTATGCTTTTATTATTAAACTAATGTCGTAGTTAAAAATCCTGATTTCAGCTCTCCAAATAATGCAAAGACAGTGTGTCGAAGAATTAAAGCTTTGACATTAGAAGCTATTAAATTACGTGTAAATTATTGGTCCTGCACCTAAGCTCTCTCGGACCGTGTCGTATTGCGATTTGATGAGTGTAAGGGAATAGAAATTGCACCTGTGCTTGCGCATACATTCGGATACTACAATTCTGTACTGTACTGATGGGCTAGTCTCCGTTGAGGCTCGCCGCTGTGACAGAAATTTGGTTGGGAGGACACTCAACCCAACAATAAACCCAATTCTTAACTCAGCGTAACACTCAACTCGAGGCTCAACCCACGCACTGACGTTATTCATAAGGGGTTTGTTTGTCAGTTTGTTCATCATTATACTAATGACTTTAAGCACTGTTAGGCGAGGCAATTTATATTTTTTTTATAATTTTAAGTACTAATTGCTGTATTCAAGTGATTATTGATCACAAATATTAAATATATTACGTATAAATTGATTAGTAGAGTTCATTAAAGCAGTAAGCCTTATTATCATACTGTAGTAAAATAAGGTCTACTAGCAAGGTTTTTAGAAATGTTTAATTTTGTTTTTATTTATAATAAATGTTACAATTATTCGTTCATACTTTATAAAACCTGTTCTAAACTAATTACTTTTATTAACATCTCTAGACCAAATTAGATATTTCTGATTTTATTTTCGATTTTCCCTTAGTTAGGCCTTATTACCTACCTTAGTCCAGCTCAATGATTTCGATGACGGCGAACCTAGAAATTAGGATATTTTCCTATCATGAGTTCTGATATGGCCTGCTATGTCGAATTTGGTCTTGAAATCTCTTTGACATGCGTCACAGTAGAGTTGTTCAGCTTCATTGTAAGTGTTTGTGTAGGAGGACCTAAACCTGTCTTTACGCAATTGGCGTTTTGCGTGTAAAAGTCTTGAGGTGGCTTTCCTCAAGCGAAGCAGATGACATTTCTGCTTCAAGCTCCTCCCAACACGCGGGGTCGATAGAGTAAGCATTAACTTGTCTTTTGAACACATCCTTATAGTGCAAATACTGACTACCGTACTTTCGTTTACCTACCACCACCTCCGACTAGAAAACAGATTAAAGTGACCATCGGTCGTCACGAGAGGGAATGCGTGAGTTAATTAGCCTTAATAGAGAACAGAAAAAATACACAGTGTTTATTGTTTTTTTTTTATATAAATAGCTGTTAAAAAGCAGACTAAGAACAAAACGGAATAAAAACAACATTATTGTAAACTAATTAATAACCGGAGCCGGAGAATTTAAATCGGCTTCATGCGAGGTTGAGAGTCAAACTAACAAAGGGAGTAACGGGGCAGGGTTCACTAGCAGTGCTGGAATTTTATTTGCATATTATGTTACTAGAGAACGCTCAACTTTGTAATTTCCATTGTAACTGTCATTCTTGTATTTTTTTTCCTTTTAAAGTGATTAGTTTAGAAACATTTTAGGTAGGCAGTGACTCATCGTAACAATTAATTTTTTTTTATTTATTTACACAAATACAACATACACAATCATTACAGGGTGAGCACCTTAATTCAACAGTGTTGCCGTAAAGATACAGTATGATATGTAATTTTACTGAGCTCACTCAGCGAACATGAAAACAAATCACACCGAGAACAGCCCTTGCTGCTTCAGTGCGGTGCGCGCACGCGCCACCGGCGCTGCCGGCGCCCCGCGTTTCCGTCTGGCGCATTCAGTCGCATCATCTCCAACACTCTCGGGTTGTGTATCCTACCCGTCATCACCTTCAACACGTACATAGCGAGAGCGACTTCTCTTCTAACTTCGACCTTATAGTACCCTACCATACCGAGCAAAAATAGAGTAGAATACAACAAGGGATACCCCGGTTAAACTCCAAATTGATTCAAGTACTGAATCTAATAAATTTATTTTGGATCCGCTCTAACATAATTAGTATTTGGCTTCGTGAGGAGCCCAAACACAGACTAATATGATGTTTACATATGCATTGCCCAATTGACGAAGACCGAAGACCACAAACTATATAGAAACACTACACGTTCCGAATACGAAACTAAAGCTGTAGCAAATCGTGTATGTATTCGGTACTGAGTAACGGGTGCGCCATATAGTACCGAGTAACGAAACGTTACACACGAATGCATTTCGTTACTCGCATTTTTCGTAGTATGGGTAACTACACTGTTTCAGTTCACGCAAGTACCGTTGATGCGTGTATTGAAACATTTGCTGATCGTATGTTTTACGCATGCACACGCTTATTCGGTGATTTAAAAACGTACCTACGTTACAAAGAGTGATGTTTGTTTATTAAGTAAAGTATAATTCGGTAATTCGTCGTACACGTTTTTTACTGTTTATTAAAGATATTGTGTGTGTAGACAAAGTCTTGTTAATATATAAATATGTTTTCTACAAATTATGAATGTTGCGACGCCGCGACGTCATACTGTACGCGTACGCAATACGACTTGATTCGATGCTCTAACATAATAGCATGTTATAATGTATCAGACGTAACGAGTAACGTAACGATACGATAGCAACGAGTACTAATTGTTATAGTAACGAATACATACGGGTACGCTTTTTTTCGTTAGTCTTACACCTCTAGACGATACATAGCAGAAAACAGTGACTCATTAATTCATTTTATTATTAATTAAGATTTTTGACTTAGATGCTTATCCTTTAAGCCATGTCTTCATTTCATTAGGGATCTTCGTTTTTTTAGATTTTTTGTTCACAATATGCTGATGCGTCACATTGCGCAGTTTTTGGGGAGATTTTGACGACAGCGCAACCCAGCGATCAGTCGATGACGACAGTCACCCAAGTTCATAAGGCTCTTAAGCAAGCAAAATAACTTGAGGTTTATATCAACATGAAAACGCTTATTTCCTCGTTTTTTTTCTAATAGTTCACATGCGCAGATACTTAATACATAAAATCGCATCACTTTTACGTATCAAAATCCACTTCAAAACATTATCAATTTAAACGATAAAACAAGAGCAACCTTAGGTAATTATATTGTCTAAGGGAGCAACAATCCGTTGACGGTCAAATTCCCGCCAAACTTCTTTCCTCTTTACAGACTATCAAAAGTCCACTGCAGAACATAGGCTTTCGCCATAGGTTTTCTCAAATATCCCCATTTCCTTGACAGGCTCGTTGGCTAGCGTAGTTTTAAATTAGTTGGAATTGTTATCAGGAAGATACTGCTGCCCATCTCCTATTTCATTTTTCCCTGTCGCCTCTTTTGATTCTAACTGGAGGATATGGGGTGGTAGTTCTCTTACTCCGCCACTACACGCCGAGTGACACATAATGGTGTTATTTGCATTATTTAATTAGTCCTGTTCAGCAGGCGACGTGTCGCCGTGACTAGTCGCTGCAGTCATGATTCTGAACCCGACTGCAGGCGGCAGCAGCCCGTGTTCCAAATCTGTTCCAAATGTTCTTTGTATACGTAACACTTCTAGTACTTACCGCTTTTATTTAACTCCTTTCCAATATTTTTTACAAATATTATCTTTTATCACACTGTTTAAATAATTATTGTGAGACGCATCGTATAGTGCGGCATATTGGTTGGCCACCTGGTTTATCAGTTTCTCTTCCTCGGAATCGCTGTAACTCATTTTTGAGACAAATTCAACGTGTTGTCGCTCGGGCGTTGGCGGCACTACTGATCTGCTGATCTGCGGTCGGGTGACAGTGTCGTCTGCCACTCGGCCCCTAGCGGCAGACGACGTGTCGCGCACTATTGTTTATTCTGTGGTGTCGCTAGACGCTACGGAAGGTATTTTATAGAACTACATAGAAACCAGTAGTGTCGCGGCAACGCGTAGCCTGCTGTTGCTGCCTGCAGTCGGCTACGGAATTGTACCTTTAGTCTTTAGTTTTCCTTAATAATTTTACCGAATACGTTTTGTTTTTAATTTATCCAATATTATCATTGTTCATTAATATGTATGTGTCATATGTACTCACTATGAACAGAACTGGGCGGAGCGCATCCTGAATGTACCGGTGTTGAACCATTGGTGGCAGACGGAGACCGGGTCCCCGGTAACCGCGGCGTGTCTGGGATACAACGTCAAGTCTGTCCCGCCGCACTCTGCCGGATACCCTGTACCCGGCTATGATGGTAAGCTAATCATACCAAATACAGTTAAAATAGAGATTTCTTCCTTTTAGTTTCATATATTAACAAAAGGAGCGTAGGCGTGATCTGTACTTACTGTCAAGTATCCATTTTATAGGTACTGCCCGTGCGGATAAAAAAGGGGTTAAAAATGGCGGCTTATCGAGTCTGTCGGTACTGTCAATATACAAGATAAACTACCTAAAGTGAAAACAGCCATAATAACCTTATTTTGTTGTTACAAATAACGATATTTTATCAAATAAAACGTTAGGATAGTATTATATATACATTTGAAAACTCTTAAAAAGGGAAAATCAAATCATGAATATAATATTCAGTTAATAATGTTAATTAATTATTAACTGAATATTATAATAGGGAGGTAAATCAACTCGCAAATAATATTTTATATTTTTAGTAATATAATCATTGAGACTACATAAAACAAGTAAATACTTAAAAGTATATTTGGACAGCAATTGTTTTAAATTAATAGTTATAGAGTATTACTTGTACCTGAAATTAGAAGTACGAAAAACGCTTTCCACAACCATGATTTTTAAGCGCGAGACTTGAATAGAGGCGATGTTTAGGCCAAATTTTAACGTTTAAAACTTGCATTCAAAACTCTTGCCTTGGCGCGTCATCCGATGGTATTTAGGTGACATAAATGTCGCCAAGGGGGGGGGGGGGCGGCCGTGTACTTCTCAGTATTTGACGGCGTGGGCCGGCGAGCAGTGCTTACGCTCGAATAATTAGACTGCCTCTTATTGCGTTGTCTTTTTTGTGCGTTTACGTGACAACGAGGCTTTCCTTGAGTTTTGAATTGATTAACTTAACTTCGATTGCCGATAATTTGCGTCGACAAGTTGCTTGTGTGGCTTTTTAATATCGTACGAAGGAATTTTTCCGAGAGGAGATCGCGTTCGTATTCGATTATAATTTTGTGTTAAGTGAACATGGGACATTGAACATTGACAGACAGTTCTTAAGTTGTGCAGTGTGTCACTTGTTTTAAGTTCGATTACGCTGATTTAGTTAAATTTAAAGTTTATTAAATGTATAATAAAATTGATAAACTAATGTAGTGAAATAAAAGCAGAAGGTCTCAATTGGTGAACGCCCACTGGAGTGATAGCACATTGTGGAACAAAGCCGCGCATGTGGGTCTGCGGTCCGATTACATCGGTGACGTCAGGTTACATTTACACACTTTCGTACACCACTTACACACTCACATATTTACCACCTGACTGCGCCTTGTGGCCGACCCTACCTCCGGAACTCGGTAAGTTGTGTTGCTTATTCAGCCATTAAATAATAATTATCCATAGGCCATTTGGGCACGAACCCTCTGGTTGCTTGTCGAGTGGGCTACTCATGGGCCCTAGCCTAGTCGACTTTTGTCGGGGCAACTGAGGGCCGTAACATTTTTGGTAGCAGAACGTGGTTACGCCCGGTCGTAATATAAAAAAAAATATGTTTTTTTTCTTTTTCTTGTTTTGTTTGTTTGTTAACGGATCAGTGGTTAACCACGCCCGTTAGGCTGCGCAAGCAGGAGTGTAGTTTAGGGTTAGGTACCTACGCGCCAGGTATTTCGGGTAGGTAGATTAATTATCGTTATCATATAATCGTATAATTATCGTTATCGTATAATTATAGTAGATATTAATTGCCGAAGGGTCGGTCGCCTGAACGAGGCATCTTTGCGGACCGACTGTAGTGTATACTTGCCGTGTAGTGTAATTTGTATTTAATTTAATAAATAGTAATTTGTAGTGTAATTTGTATTTAATTTAATAAATAGTAATTTGTGTTTGTAGTGTAATTTGTATTTAATTTGATTTAATAGTAATTTGTATTTAGTAGTGATGCCATCGCACAAGTTACCGACGCTTCGCCTGCAGGCGGAGCTGCGCTGGGCCGCGAACGCCCATAATCTTACGGTGGTAGAGCCCTGCAGCAGTTTTTTGCTGCTGCACGTATGGGCCGGCTCGAGCCGGGTTGGTACCACGACCTCACAGAATACCGGCGTGAAGTAGAGGCTCTGCTTCTGCGTTTCGTCTGGTGAGTGCAGGTGGCCGGAGGCCCAATTCCCCCCCCCCCCCCCATCAACATGGTAGCGGAATTAGACAATAGACTACCCCAGGAGGGTACCAGTACCCCTGGAGAATCCCTCGCTGAGCATCCACGACCATGTTATTCCAATCCTGAGCGTGGGTGCTCAGGCTGCCCCGCGTATTCTGGGGGGGGCAAAATTCCGCTCAAAAACAAAACTGCTCGGGGCAAGCTGAGCAACAATACCAAGGCGACCCCTGCCACGCTATCCGTGAATTTCTGCAACATCAGGGGACTTCACTGTAACCTAAACGCCGTCCACTACCATCTCGAGACGGCGAAGCCGGCCTTGCTCTTTTTGACCGAGACGCAGGTTTCCTCTCCGACTGATATTTCGTATCTCTCCTACCCGGGGTACAAATTGGAGCACTCCTTTGTGCCTCGGGCTGGAGTTTGCGTGTATGTTAGAGAGGACATCTGTTCTCGACGCCTCGGCAGTCTTGAAGGTTCGGACCTGTCCATCCTTTGGCTACGCGTAGACAGCGACGACCATCCGCGCGTCTACGGGTGCCTCTATAGGTCCCATAGCGGTAATGCCGAAACAGACCGACTCATCGACCACGTCCAAATGGCTACAGATTCCTTGCTACAACAGGTCCCATCCGCAGAGATCGTGATCCTTGGCGATTTTAACGCCCACCATGCCGAATGGCTCGGTTCACGTTTAACCGATCATGCGGGGAGATCTGTTTATGACTTTGCCTTGGCATATGGTCTGACACAACTGGTTACTTCGCCTACGCGGATTCCAGATGTGGAGGATCATACACCTTCCCTGTTGGACCTTCTGCTGACCTCTCATCCGGACGGATATCAGGTTTCCGTCGATGCCCCTCTCGGCTCTTCGGACCATTGTCTGATCCGGAGTATGGTGCCACTCACGCTCCCTTCGCGGTTGCGTTCTGCAGGTTGCCGCCGTGTTTGGCATTACAGGTCGGCGGATTGGGACGGAATGCGGTCTTTCTTTGCATCCTACCCATGGGGGCGGGTTTGCTTCTCGCCGGATGATCCCAGTGCTGTTGCTGACTCTGTCACTGATGTGGTGCTACAGGGAATGGAACTATTTATTCCATCATCTGTGGTACCCATCGGAGGCAGATCTCAGCCTTGGTTTGGTCGCTCCTGTAAGACTGCATTGCGCAGTAAGCAGGAGTGTTATCAAGCCTGGGCTGCAGCTTCGGTGACTCGGGATATAAACACCAGCACACTTAAAAAGAAGTATAACTTCGCCTCCAGGTCCTTCAAAAGAGTTATTGCCAAGGCAAAGTCAGAGCACATAGGCAGAATTGGCGAGAGACTAGTTCGCCTTCCTTCGGGAACCCGTGCATTCTGGTCTCTCGCCAAGGCTGTCCAAGGGAATTTCTGTAAGCCATCACTACCATCTCTGCACAGGGAGGATGACTCACTGGCCCATGACGCAAAAGACAAAGCCGACCTTTTAGGCTCCCTTTTTGCGTCCAACTCGACTCTTGATGACGGGGGGAAAACACCGCCGACCATCCCGCGGTGTGAGTGCTCCATGCCGGATGTGCTGTTCTCACAGCGCTCGGTTCGCAAAGCACTGCTCTCCCTGGACATCCAGAAGTCGAGTGGGCCTGACGGAATCCCCCCAATTGTGCTGAGGACGTGTGCTCCGGAGTTGGCACCGGTCCTAACGCGTCTTTTCCGGTACTCCTACTCCCAAGGCGTAGTCCCGAATTCATGGAAGACAGCTTTTGTCCACCCGATCCCTAAAAAAGGCGACCGCTCAGACCCGTCCAACTATAGGCCTATCGCGATCACCTCCTTGTTCTCCAAAATAATGGAATCCATTATTAACTGCCAGCTCATCCGGTACCTTGAGGATCACCAGCTGATTAGTGACCGCCAATACGGTTTTCGTCGGTGTCGATCAGCTGGTGATCTTCTTGTCTACCTGACCCATAGATGGGCGGAGGCAGTAGAGTCCAAGGGGGAGGCGTTGGCCGTTAGTCTGGACATTGCGAAGGCCTTTGATCGGGTTTGGCACAAAGCGCTTCTTTCAAAGCTGCCTTCCTATGGGCTTCCCGAGAAATTGTGCAATTGGATCACCAGCTTTCTTGCAGATCGGAGCATCAAGGTCGTTGTAGACGGTGCATGTTCTGACTACAAGCCTATTAACGCTGGTGTTCCACAAGGCTGTGTGCTATCACCAACGCTGTTTCTTCTGCATATCAATGATATGTTGCTAACTGGTAACATTCATTGCTATGCGGATGACAGCACTGGTGATGCTCTATACACCGGCCGGGCCAATATTTCTCGGGAAAACGTCGCCGAGTACCGGAACAAACTTGTGTCTGAAGTCGAGTCTTTGCTGGACAAAGTCTCGGATTGGGGGCGACTAAATCTAGTCCAGTTTAATCCTCAGAAGACACAAGTTTGCGCGTTTACCGCTAAAAAGAACCCCTTTGTCGTATCTCCTCAGTTTCAAGGCACTCCCCTTCTTGCCTCAGCCAGTATCGGTATCCTCGGAGTCGACATATCGAGTGACGTGCAGTTTCGTGGTCACTTGGAAGAGAAGGCCAAATTGGCCTCTAAAAAGCTTGGCGTGCTCAGCAGAGCGGGACAGTATTTCATGCCGGCACACCGCCTGCAACTTTACAAGGCGCAGGTTCGGCCTCACATGGAATACTGTTCCCATCTCTGGGCAGGGGCTCCCCAGTGCCAGCTCCTTCCACTTGACCGCATCCAGCGCAGAGCGGCTCGAATCGTCGACGACCGAGCCCTTTCCGATCGGCTCGATTCATTGGCACTGCGAAGAGATGTTGCATCTCTTTGCATTTTCTTTCGCATCTACCATGGGGAGTGCTCTGAGGAATTGTTCGGATTAATCCCAGCCGCCAAATTTCACGAACGCACAT